TACTATGTGTGCCAGATCGGCTTCTAGAAGGCAGTCTGATACATTGTGTGCTGGCACAACATCATTTTGAATTGTGTGCCAGTTTGGCACATGATATGCCAGACTGGCACATGATGTGCTAGACATATTACATTTTAAATGTCTGACAAGCCAGTCTGGTACTATGTGTGCCAGACCGGCTTCTAGAAGGCAGTCTGATACATTGTGTGCTGGCACAACATCATTTTGAATTGTGTGCCAGTTTGGCACATGATATGCCAGACTGGCACATGATGTGCTAGATATATTTCATTTTGAATGTCTGAAAAGCCAGTCTGGTACTATGTGTACCAGACCGGCTTTTAGAAGGCAGTCTGATACATTGTGTGCTGGCACAACATCATTTTGAATTGTGTGCCAGTTTGGCACATGATATGCCAGACTGACACATGATGTGCTAGACATATATCATCTAACACATTGTGTGCTGACACAACATCATTTTGAATTGTGTGCCAGTTTGGCGCATGATATACCAGACTGGCACATGATTTGCCAGGCAGGCTTCATTTTAAACAATATGCCTGTAAGACACACATTATCCCCCACCAGCTTAATTTTAAAAATTAAATCAGACCAACACATCGTTTAAAATGGAGCCGGTCTAGCACATATTGTCTCAAATTGATTTTATTTTTATATTTTTTCTTGAGAAAAATATACATTATAAGGGGGTATTTTTGTCCTAAATAAGACTATTTTTTTTCTTAGAAGGTAAATGCAAAAATAAATAATTTTGGGACTAATAGTATGGTTTACAAATTTTTTTATTTTTTTCTTTTATATTTTTGTGGGATTGGGGAGGTGAGCATGTCTACAAGGCATAGTTTTCCCTTCAAGAAACTTCTCGATGGTTATTTTTAGAAAGGCAGAAAAAAGATAAGATTAGTTTCAACATTTGTATGCCAGAGATAAATGTACTAAACGTGCGACCAACCTCAATATAGTAAGTATGAACTGGAATGCACCACACTGTGCCTATAAAAGTACTTCCCCTCTTCTTTACTCATCTGCTCTCCCTTCCATTTAGAAGTAAATGGCCAAAACACCTGCTTCTTCCTACCATTGCCTTTTTATCTAGCCCTAACCTTGCATACCGCATAGCCTTCTCATGGTTTGCCTTTGCCTTTGCTTGGTCCCTAGCAGTTGGGATGCTTTTCATTGACCATCCATGGTTACTTTTTGGGTTTGGTGGGAGAGTGTGGGATACTAGTGGCACAATTCTCAACATCTCAACCCTTCAATCACACCCCCAACTATCAATCACAGTTTCTTCTTATCTCCCATTTCTGTCTATATGTTTGTTTATCCATTTATTTGATTGCTTTTGTAGTTCTGAGTTGCTTTGATTTCATGTACTGTAGACCCATGTCTCACAAGCTCTCTATGAGTTTTAGGATCTTGACCTCAGTAGCACACTGCTTAGTTAAAGGTTGAAAGGCTTGTGAATGTAGATACTGCTCTTTATAGTTATGGAGTGGTTAAATTATGTAAACTACCTGGGCTTACATAATTCATTTTGGAAAAGAACCAGCAATCAGGTATAGGCGGAATCGGAAAATAGGGGCATGGTGGATTGTGCTTGGAGGTCGAAAATCACCTTTAAAAAGGTTAGTTATCTTTGTGGATTGTGCCCCATCCTTTGAGCGCAATTCTGGAATGTGCATGAGAGACAGGAACAATCATCTTGTCTATTGCAAAAAGAATGCACCAGCCTTCACCCGCGAAAGCAATGTTGTAAAACTCCTCTATCAAAGGGTTCGAGGAAAAGGCTGCTGTAATGAGCACCCTCATATTCCAGGCACATGAAAGAATAAGAAATTGTGCCTAAGGCTGCTACAGCTTTGACCTCTAGCTCAATGATCAGATCCGAGATGCACGCTGAGCTTGTCAATCTTCGCTGGCATGTCACCTTGGCCAGTGCTCAATATCTGCCTAAAATTTTCATCGCCATCGCCGTCATTATGGTGGCTTCTTCGCTGACCTGGTGCCTCCAAATTACTCCATGTATGCTCCTCTTTTACCACCTACAGTCACCTAATGATGTGCCATGGTCATCTTAGGATCTGCTGTTGGGGCATCAACAGTAGCAGCCGATCAGGGCCGTCATTGCCGACATGCTCCACTATTGTCCATTTTGGTGGAGCTGATCTGCATTGATCTTTGTAAGCATACTAGTTATGATTACTCAAAGAAGAACTGAAAGCAGAGTATAATAATGTAAAAATGATCATTTTGCCACATGAAGAAATTGATGATGTTGTTGGTGGAGGATTTACTCCATTATATCACTACAGGTTTTCCGATATGGAGTTATGTACCAATCTTTGAGAGGAGGAATATATAAATTAGAACTGAAAGGAGAGTACAGTAGTGTAAAAATTAGAACTGAAAGCCGAGTACAATAGTGTAAAAATGTTCATTTTGTCACATGAAGAAATTGACGATGTTGCTGGTGGAGGATTTACTCCATTATATCACTT